TCGGCGTGCTAAACGAACAGAAGAGCGGCGAAACCTGCAGGTCTCCGAAGCAATCAACACAACAGTTCCTGATGCAACTCCTAACAACCCAGGTCCGAGGGCAATGGGCCGTTCTCACAACAATCCGCCAAACACAAACACAAGCAAAGAAAGCTCTTCGGCACTCGCGTATTCGCAAGCCTACCGCCAGGCCGCTGCAACGGCACCTGTAGATCGAACAGAAACAGACTGGTTCAAACTACGAGCGATGGGCATTGACCCTAGCAAACACCGGAAGAGGAGTTTTGACTTTACTTCTTCTGATGAAGAAAAGCCAAACCTGATTGAGTCCAAGCGGCCGAAGCTGTTATCAAAGTCTCCTTCAGTGGAAAGTCAATTACCACCTACCCCCAAGACTATGGACGAGGAGCAGGTTGATCAGACTGAAGCCATCAAACAGTCCTTCAAGGGCTCAACATACACAATATCACCATCTCATTCGATCAACGGGGCTGCCTCTATCAGTGGTCGAGCCTCATTCAACGATTCTACCAGCAGCTTGATCGAAAGAGCTCGAAGGATAGTGGCCGGTGCCAAGTCAGAAATGCCGCCACCTCCACACACCAATAGCGCAATGTCTGTCTATAGGGCTGATTCCTTTAACGGAAATGCCAGCCAACTCATTGCACGTGCCAAAGGGCTTGCAGGACATCATGATACAACTTCAAATGTACAGCATGACTGGAGCCGAAGCGTTCCCAACCTTGGCTTCTCAGCATCTCAGAGCCAGCGGTCAATGTATGGTAACAGTAGCTTCGGCAGCACGGTGTCGACCAAGGACCGTCCAGCATACTGGGGACGTACAAGTCGGTTTGTACCTCGCCATCTCTACGGTCGCGGTGCGGACGCTGTTCGTGCGTACAGAGTAGAGCAGGGCCTTAGCAAGTCACCGTCCAGCACACGACCGGCTAGTGCAGAGCCTATGAGTTTCTCATCTCCAACCCCAGCCCAGCAGTTGTTTGTCCAGCACGCACAAGCCCGAACCCAGGGCTACACCCAGGAACAATACAGCGATACGGAAGAAGCCAGTGGCGTTGACGTTGTTGATGTTGACGCTGAAGACTCAAATGCCGTCATGACCGATGATGAGGGATTTGCTGGTGCAACAAACTCGTATCCTGGCTCTCAGTTCCCTGCTGCCCAGTCCAATCATCAAGACTACAACGAAGACGCAGATTCCGAGATGCTGGAAGGCGAGGACGACGACGAACTCCTCGACTACGACGAGTACGACGAGGTTGATGAGGACGAAGAGATTGCAGACGATTTTGACGAAGAGGAAGAGGAAGAGGAGGATGAGTCTCAAGAAGAAGAAGAAGATGATGATGATGGGGGCGAAAACACCATGAAACCCGGAGCAACCGAAGACGACGCCATTGAGCTTTCTGACTAGGATCTTTTTCTTTGCCGAGGAGAGAATGTATTATATTTTACCCAAACAAGCGTTTAGTATCAGCATAGCGATGGCGTTTTTTCTATCTTTTCTTGTCATCTTTTACCGTTTTGCTGGTCAAGGACAGGGTGGAACAGTATGCATGGGTGTAAGTGGAAAAGAGATACCCAGTTACTAGCTACGGAATGCGAGTGTTTCAGCGAGCGGTGTTCAAAAGTAAATGGAAACTTTTCAAGCATTCAACCAAGTCTACTCTGCCTTTACAGTGAATCACTGATGCGTTGTCATGAATCCCCAATATGAACTGTAAACCGAATCTTCAAACTAGGTAGGATGATACGCCTTATACACCTGCAACGCCCCCTCAACACTCTGCACCACGCCAAAGAAAACGGTCAAGCACAGAATCACCATGGCAACCCAAAACGTATACCACTGCGCCTTATCCCGCCTATCCCGCCACTGCTGCAAAATCGACCTCCGATGCGGCGCCTCGAACACCCTTTCCAGCGCCCCCAGCCTTTTCCTCCAATACCTAAAGTCGCTCCCTCGACAATCCCTGAGTCGACCCAGTTCCAAAATGCGCATATCGACGCCGGCTAAGTGCGGTGAATGCGTGACCCACTCCCTCGTTTTGGCATCGTTGGCCGGGAAAAGCAGGGCCAGCGTGTCCAGTGTCTCTGCCGCTAGGCCATCCGGCAAGATGCCATCTTGCCATTGGAGAAAGGAGGCGTGGTGGAAGATGTAGAGTTGGTTCCCGCCGCGCGAGAGGTGCAGGTGGTCTGCTAAATTACTTGTCCAGGTGATTTCGACGCCGCAGTAGCGGTGCAGTTTGTAGGCTGTGAAGTCCTCGCCGAAGAGCATGTCTACTCCTTCATTTTCGTAGCTTGAAGGGTCCTGCGGTACGAAATGTGATTGGAGAAGGTCTTGCAGGCTGGATGTGGGGGATGTCCAGGTGAGGGAGTGGTGGGTTCCACGCCGGGTGTAAGGTAAGGGGCCGATGTCTGTCATGCTGAGGAGCCGGGCGACGAGCATGACTGAGCCTTCGAGCATGGTGTCTGCTTCTTCGGGGGTTCGGCTTCCCCGCATGGAGGGTTGGATGTAGGATTTTATGGCGGCTTTTGGGGTTGAGGAGTGCATGTGCTGAGCGACGGATTGGATGTCTACATGTGTGCGAATTGTGGTGTATTTGCCCTTGGCAGTTTGGATTGCGGTGTTGCATTGGGTGTTGTAGTAGAGCATATATGGAGCCCAGTAGAGTTCTGATGGGTCAGTGGAGTTTGGGGTGGTTTGATGCCATAGTTGGGATATGATTTCAAGTTGGAGTTTTTCGTCTTCGACTGGTACACTTGGGTTGTCTTGGAGTGACATTTTTCTTCGGATATGGTTGTCCTGGGAGAAGGCTATTGATAATGGGATTGTTAATCAGGCAATGAATGTGACGTTGCTCAGCTCGCATGCTGAAGCGAGGAACTAAGTGGCAGGTTACGCGATAGTATGTATGCAGGAGGGGCTGCGCCTCAATGCTTGCAGATGCGCTTCAGCCTTGGGCCGGAAATGATAGGATGAGAGTTTCCTCGCTGCGCCGCAGGCACACTGGCGCGTCTGAGGTTGACCACCCCACTATCTGCACAGCCGTACTCCTCTGCTCAATTAATCACCTCCTTAATGAACCCCCTCTTACTTAATCCCCAGTGGCAGTAATCTTGTGCTCAATCATTCTGTGCCACTTTTCAATCCTGACAGTTCTGTGTCACTTCGATTCCTAGTCAACCGTCACAATGTTCGAGTCACGTGTCCCAATGCTTCGGCGCACCCGCCAATTCACCTCACCTGAGGAATCCGTAGGAGAACTTATGGCCCGATGCTGCTGCCTCAAGTACCCCCCATGGCAAAAAGATGACCTTTGCTGGGACGTCCGAGGTGAGGCCTTGAAAGCCTATAACAGCTTCAGCCGTCTGGTATGGAAGAAACTCGAGAATGAATGCACTGAACGCCCTGATCGCTCGGGCCTCATTGTCAGTGTGTACATGATTGGCTACTCTCCATCTACAGCCGTCCCTGTTCTTGTGTTTGTAAGCAAGAACAGAAACGCAGCCAAGGAGGCCCAGAAGATTGTGAAGAAGAGTGGAATTCTGAAGCGGTACCCGGGTTTCGAGACTGCGATTATGGATCTCTTGCCTACTGGGAGTTTGGTTCTAGTCGCTCAGGGGCCAAAGAAAGCAACTCAAGATAATCTGCCCGTTCCGGGTCGGCGTGAGGTGTATTACGATCCCAGATTCGAGATTGAGTCGGTAGGAATGGCACTGTATGTACGAGACGAAGATGGAACATTTGAAAAAGCCACTGGCAATGTGGTGGTTAGCGAACAGGGACTCGGGTACTTTACAGCTGCACACGTCTTCCAAGCACAAGATGTGGCGACGGAGCCTGTTGTCGGATGGGGCGAAGACACCAGTGTTGATGATGACTCGGACAGTGATGACTTCGACGAAGACGAACTCGAACTCCTATCGCGATACAGCCAAAGCTCGCAGGAGTCACTGTCTCCCGACCTAACTGAAAGCACAGCCCTCTCCTCCTCATCCCTCCCATCCTCCTCCTCAGAAACAGTCGACACCCAAGACGCAACGACCTTCACCCCATCCTTACCCCCTACACCCGCCTCTTCCTCCCCCACAGCCCCAGAACCCTACGTAAACCGCACCATGCGTCTCGACGACATCGACCTCCACCACCTCGGCCACTGGACCCCGACCTCCCCAACCTCAGCCCTCAACCAAGACTGGACCCTCATCACCATAACAAACACCACTGTCCTATCTTCCCTCTCCAACCCCCTCACCCAGCCTCCCCTCCTCCCCCCCTCAACCCCGCACCCCCCTCACAAAGCCGAAGTAGTAATCCACACAACATGGGGTCGCCTCCGCGCCTCGCTCCTCGAAACACCCGTACTGTTACGTCTGCCTGGTAGCAGTAAAGTAGCGGAGGTGTTGCGGTTCGAATATAGGGGCAGCCTTGGGGTGGCGGATTGCGGGTCTTTAGTTGTGGGGCAGGGAACCGGGGAGGTGTATGGGCATGTTGTTGCGGGGGCGGCGGAGGGGAGGGTGGGTTATATGGTTTCTGCGGTTGGGACGATGGGGGAGATGCAGGCGTGTGGTGGATGGAGGGTTGTTGGGCTGGTGGAGTAAGGGTGTGTTGGCTGCTTGTGTGTGTGTAGGGAGTTAATAAAGTTTAGATATTAGTTTTTTTTCTGGTAAAAAGGGGGTTCTGAATATGGGATTAGGATCATTAGATGATTTTTATAATGTTTTCTTCGAATAGTATTCTATATGAGGTCATAAACTCGAGTTGTGAGAATTGTCTGATGTGATCGATCTGATGCGTAAAAATTTAGCTACACCCCCTGACAACAAACAAAAACGCAGAGAAAGCAAGAAACAGCAATCAAGAATTTCCAATCATATATTACAAAAGCCGCTAACAGACGGGTATCATTACTACAACTTAAGAGACGCAATTCTATATAGATTATGCCTGAACAAAAGAAAAAAAAGGATATATCTCATTATACCTCTTTCTCCTGCACTCTGAAGGTCTTCTTGTGCAGGGGCGTCTCATCCCCAAACACGCTGAGCGCAGGCGCATCATTACTGCTCCTCGAGCTGCTCTCTATAAAATCTCTCCTATCAGTCGTCTCCTTGCGATCCTCATGTGTAATGCGGAGTTCAGTATGGCACTGAATACCGCCAAGATCGAGACTCTCGTCGCTATCGATCTTGCTGAGACCGGCGCTGCGCATATTCGAAGGGTGGTTACGCTTAGAGCGGTTGGTAAGGTGTAGGGACTGTGCGGCGGCGGCAGAGCGCGAATGCGATTCGGGATCGGTGGTGCTGTGGAATTCTTCGGGGCCCATGTCGTTTTGGGATTTGCCCTGGGCAAGGCGGACGACGAGCGAGGCCATGGACATCTCGATGTTGAGCTTGACCATGTAGGCGACGGGGTGGAATTGAATGTAGACGACTTGGTTACGGAGGAACATGAGGCCGATGAGGAGGGCGTCCATGGCGATGGAGATGAGCATGAGCTTACCGTTGAAGCTGATGAGTGGCGCGTATTTGGTGAGGCCGTGCTGGTTTACCAATCGAATCTTGACAGTGCGCAAGAAGTACCAGTTGAGCGCTGCGTCAACGATGAGGATAAGAACTTTGGAGATTTTATCCCATACATTGTTGATCTTGACGAAGGTATCGTTGATAGGGGGATTTGTATGCGAAGGGATCCAGATGCAGAAGACGGCAATGTTGATGGCAGTGATGAAGATGAAGGTACCCCATTTGAGTTTCTTAATCGTACTGCGGTGCTCGGCGATGAGTGCAATTCGATTGATGATAATTTGCATGAGCAGTTGAATCTCAAACACCCAGAAGAACAGGATGGAGAACAAGACTGGTATACTGTGGCATTGCGTGTTAGTGGATATCTCTTGTAGCAGTGTTGAAGAAAAGAATCACTCACCTCGGCCCAACTGTGTCATTGAGAAAGAGCCATCCAATGACTCCAATGCAGACGTTGACTAGAATCTCACCCCATACCATGTAAATGTAGGCAGAGCGTAATGGGCTGTGATTCCGCCGTGTCTGCTTGATTGCCTCCCATACTGTCAAGAAGCCGAAGCCAAGTGTGAAGCCAGCAGCAAGGGCTGCAAGCTGGAAATCCTGAACAGATGCCATTCTGCTCCACGACTCTGATTCGAGTCTGGGTCGATTCCGGGGAAGAAGGAGACTCGGTGAATTAAGATCCTACCGGGCAAAAGTGCGGGGACCTCTGCAACAACAATACATATATCATTCTAGACCCTTGCAAGGAGACATTACTACATCGGCAGGTGCACAGGTGCCGGGGCGAGATCTCGAATGGCGAACTGACCAGCCAAGGGTGGTTCTAGGCAGGACGGCTTGTAGCGTGAAGCTGAACTGCGAGCGAACGGGCTAGCTCATCTCTTGGTCTTCTACTTCGCCAATCAGCATCCGAAGACGCCACTCACTAAAATCCTGAGACTGCTGTGGAGTAGAGACGCGGGTAGCGTTGCACGGTACAACTGCCCCGAAGTAGACAGCGAGCCGCGCCACTCTCGACACTGCGGGCACTACATTCTTTAGCAGATGTCAAAAACGCAATGCGAAACTCTGTTACTCAAGCCTACAGAGGGACCAGGCGCGGTAGATATGTAAGTATGTTTGTGTACCGCGAGTATACTTCCGAACGCTTGGAACATCGATACTACTTGAGATCTCCCCCGGTCATCTGATGTGGGTCTGCCGATCATGATTGACATGACCATGCAAGGAACATGGTCCCGCAATTCCGCTTAGTGGAGGAACAGTTCCCATGGCCCTGCTCAGGGTGGCTTTGCCTTTGCTCTCATGAGTTTGCTGTCACTTTTGTTGCTTTTGCGTGGTGGCTGCTGTCATAGCAATAGTGCTACAGCCGCAACCGTCCCATGTCATGATTCAATAGTCGCCAAGAATCTAGAGTTGCTTCCCGACCACAGCAACCAATTGATACAGTCTCGAAGAACCGCTTACTCGCCTCTAGCGTCATCGGAACCAGCCGTAATCGCCATCGCGGCCCCTGACTACGAACGTCGACATGGCCGAAGAAGACCCGCATGAGGGGGTGTCGACATGCTTGGTTGAGTAATTCCTATAAGTAGCCTTCAGCTTGGCCACTGGCCGATCTTGTCCGAGGTTGCCAGCACTAATAAAACTACAGATGCTGCATTTGGCACGCGGATTCAACAATCGAATTCTTCATTTACAACGATATGCATTCGTCCTTGTTCAAGAGGAGATGCACATGTAGTCCATGTATACTTACTAGACGAGGTGTTGTGTAACGTGGAGCCGAAGATCCTTCCGATGGCGTTCAGCCCCATCGGTAAATTTTCGGTACCCGCCAGTCTGGCTGCACGAGATGGTACCATGTTGTTGGTAGGTTTTCCGCGGACCGACTGTCGCGTGCTTTTAAGGTCCGCTTGAGTTGCCCGCTTTTCACGCAGATTGAGCTATACACACGCTAGAGTGCAAGTAGCCAATGTTTCACTTTTGCCTTCTCCAAGGATGTTTGTAGATCACGAACAGGAGTGTGGGCCAAGACGACACTACTTTCTCGGCAGAGTAATATGTAAGCAGCGCTTCATACGATGGGCGTATTGTCGAACGGAAGTGGACCTATCCGACAAAGTAGACCTACCCGACGAAATGAACCAGTAGACTTGCAATGTCACTGAGCAAAAGGAGCTGAGATGATTGACCCCACGTGGAGAACTAACGGAATACAAGTCAAGCAGGTTCCGGAGGGATGTGTCCGGTGGTCTCTTTTTCCGCCACTCTCACGAGTCAATACAGACTCACCCGTTCCTGGCCATGAGAAAATATTCAAGACATGATGGCCAATCAGTCTTCTGCATCAATGCTAAACTCTTCTTGAACCTCCACAATCCTGACACCCCGCTGGTCGGCGATCAGACCCATAAGACCCTGGCCCACGTCCTTCAATTCATTATACTCATGCAGTAGCTTGATGTGTTCTTTGACGACTTTGTTCGCTGCGGCCATAACGTCCGCGTCAGTAGGCTCGTCATACCGTCCATCTGCGCCACCGTCAGAAGACGCCATTTCTTCCATAAGAACCTGAATCGCCGGGAGACTACGCAGAGAAGTTAATAGGGCAGCCTTGTGCGCTTTCAACTCCGATAGAATGGTTTCCTGGGGAATTCCTGACGGGCTCCTCCGCGTAGCGGCTGTCGGCGAAGCTCCCGTAGTCGGTTGGTCTTGAGACTCGGAAGTGGAGTTACAGGGTGCACCACTCGCATTGAGATCATGACTTTCAGGGTCCTTCGGTTGTGATGCCTGTTGAAGTGCGGAGCTTGGATCCTGAGGCTTTTCTTGCGAGGGCTGAACTTGCGGTGTGAAGGGGGCGGACTCTTGCGCGCTGACTATTGACTCATGGTAAGGACTGCTTGGCCTGCAATCACTGGTACTTATTTGTGGTTTTCCACCTTGGATTTCACCAAAGTCGGGATGCAAATCAGCGTCGCCAATGTCCTTGGGCGCGGATAAGGCTGATGCTGTGATGCCTGGGGTAGTCGGATTTGAGGAGCTGGTTACTACTGCAGAGATACTTGTCGTGTCAGGTGTACCCATGGTTTGAGATCTGTGCACCTAAATTGTGTGAGCAAGGACACGGGAGGACGAGCGGGTTAAGAACGGACTGCGCTCTCGCTTGGATAAATCATGTCTGCACTCTGGATTGCATTTTGGTCCACGTCGTTTAATCTGGGCTGCGATGAAATGTCACATATGACGTCATCTCCTACTACAACGGTTCGTCTATGGGGAGCTTGCGGTTGACATGTACTGGAGATGTCTCGAGCAGACTGAGGGCAAGCATCTTTTGGCGGAGAGGTGCTGTCTGGAGTTGGTGCAGCACTGATGGACCGCGATTCCCCCGCTAGTGACCCCGGTTGCACCGTGCTTCTGTTCGCAACTGAGGCATGAAGGGTTCCGTGTGCAAACCCCAGGGGGTCCATATGCGCGCGGGCGGCTCGTTCATGAGGACTCATTTGAAGTGCTGCTCCTTCCTCTTGTGGAAGCATTGCGTCTTGGGGCTTCACGTCAGTATGGTCAGTACCAGATGCATCGGTATCGACTGAAGCGCCGTTGCGATCAAGATCCAAGCCAACGGTGCTTAGTGGAGCCGTATTGGCGTTGTCTTGTGGGTGAGCTTGGTAAGTGCAGTACGTGTCCTGAAGGGGCTCCTGAGGCGCAGCAGAGGCCATGGCGTGAAGCTTATCCGCCACATCAGATGAACCAACACCAGGCGAAGACATGATAAGCTCCTCGTCCGAGTCAGCAATCTCTGTGACGCTCTTGTCGATAGCTATGTTGGCTGATGTTAAAGTTACAGAGGGGCGTAACGAGTGTACGTTGGTCGCAGTTGTTGTGGTTGGCGGACGGAGCACGGCGGAAGCCAATCAAGGGGTCCGCCGGCTCACGTGAACTGGAAATTACGACGACGCATTGCATCAGCACGAGAACAATCGCGGCCCAGGGTCATCTCCCCCCAACTTCTGCCTTGATACGCGCCTGATGTCGCCTTGAAACTCTCCACGTCTTGCGAAGGATCCTCATAACCCACAGTCGCGCCACCAGAATTGCCGTCTGAAGCGCGATAGACAACATGGGCCTTATCACAACAAGAGTGGCCGTTGCCACGCTTCTCTGCAGCACCATGGCTACCGCACACGTCCACGAAGTCAGCAAAATACAGCAAGGAGATGCCGTCTCCCAGGATCCGATTGTACGCGCTACCAAGGAACGGTGTGTTGTGGGTACTAGCTAACCTTTGCCAGGATTCGGTGCTATGGACACACATCTTGGTACAGTCGCTCGCGTGGGGCATCATCTTCCCCACGGGAATGGTCTTGGGCGTACGATAGCTGACTTCCGCATGCACACAGCAAGGTCAAACTAACATCTCTATCAGATAATACGATCCAAATGGCACGTTCCCGTACAAACACTCGGCTCTATCCTCGCAATCATCGGATACTTCCTAGCTCACCACCATGGTGGCAGACAGTTTTCCCCTGACAACATCCACGCTAGATTTGTTCCCGTCATCATGCTCATGTTGATTTCCCAGATTGTAATGGGCGTTTACCTAAAGCTTCATCTCGAGAAAGGCATCAACGGAAAGATTCGCAAAGTGGTAGTAAAGGTGCACGGAGTGGTCGGCAAGGCTCTGCCAGTCATAACATGGGTTCAATTCCTTTTCGGAGGCATCACAGCCCTGGGTTTCTGCAGGGCCGATCATACCGGACAGTGCCTGGCTCACTTCATCATGGGTAGTGCCTTCATCGCATACGGCATCATTCTCTTGATCTTGCTTTTGGTTGGACAGATGTGGCTGCGGAGAACAGGCAGGAGCCAGGAATTCTTTGATTCGATTGTCATTGCCGCCTGGGGCTGTGTCAACACCTTTACCGAGCACCGATGGGGACACCCGTGGGTTCACAACGACCTTCAACATACATCCATGGGCATTGTGTGGTGGGCAGCCGGTCTGGTCGGTATCTGGCTCAGCCGAAAGCGAAATGGACAGCCCAAGCGCAACTTGATCCCGGGTACCGTCATTCTCATGACTGGATGGGCCATGTCGGCGCACCCCCAGCATCTGCCTCTTTCGACTATGATTCATACCGTCTTTGGATACACCCTGATGGCTGCGGGCGCTGCACGTATCATTGAAATTTCGTTTGTGCTCAAGGACAGGACATCCGTCACTTCCGATGGCTCAGACCCCAACAGTTTCCAGTACATGACGCCGTTCCTGCTTATGGCTGGTGGATTCATGTTCATGGGTGCTACCGAAGAGCAGATGCAGCTTCTTTCTGATGCCAATGTCACCCATGTGTCGTATGTGCTGATTTTGTTCAGCATTGCTTTCCTGCTGTTCCTGTGTAAGTATTTCATAGTCATTTCGTGTCTTCGTAAGCTAACATGACATCAGTTGTGAACATGCTCATTCACTTGTATGCAGTCTATGCCTGGGAACAGGACGACAAAGCTGATGACGAGGCGCCTCATCTAAACGGACGTGGCGACGGTGCTGGCTACAGCAGAGTGGATCGTAGGACAATAGGTGCAGACGAGTTCGAGTTGGAAGGTCTCGACTCCGACGATGATAGCAGTGTGACATATGGAAGCGGTAGCGGCAGCGGAAGAAGCAAGGAGAGTAGGTCGTTTGCTGCACAGCACTAGTTGATGAGGTTCTCCAGCATCTATTTCCGCATTCATTTGCATAGAATGGCGTCATGGCAAGCATACTTTGAATATCTGATGGTGCGATTTATCGCCATAATTTCATAATAGAAGCAATACCGCAACCTTAGACGTTTTTTTTTCTCCATACTCACCTCATCCGTATTTTGGCAGTCCAAGCAACTGTTTTACTTCCCTAGCACGCCTTCCACTCCACCCCTCTCGCCATCCCACGTGTCCATGTCGCCATTACCCTTCCATCTCACACGTGGCGAAAACGCCGAATTCTGTTGAGCCTCCATCAGGTTACATGTGCTGAGCGGCAAAAAAATAATAAGCCGCAACATGGCCAAAAAAACAGGTACCATTCAACCACGAGATTTTTTTACAGACTATGACACACGAAATGGCTGTTAAGGGTAACTCGTGTGTCAAACCCAGCTCCTACCATGTTTATGTAGTGGGTACCACTTGCGGTATATGAAAAAAAGTCGGATGAGGCTGAGCCGATACAAGCCGAATGTTCTTATTTTGTACTACATTGCCGGTTTCGACGCGGGAGCTAGGCTGGTATTGGGGAATATGCGGTGATGGCTTTGCTTTTTGCGGTATAATGGGTGCTGGAAGTGGGAGTTAGTCAGGGCACTTTGGGGGTGGAGAGGCTTAATTGTGACGTCTTGCGGTGTGCCGTTTGACGTTTGGTTCTGGAATATGGCATTTGTGGTGCTAGGCTATGGGTTTTCCTTGGGGGCGTGTAATTGACCCACCTTTCTACAAGGCGTTGTGGGTGGTGCACGTGTAGTGGTCTCACGATCTGGGGCGTTGGTGTGTGTGGGTTTGAGAAATTTTTCTGTCCTTGTTTTCTCGATAGAGGAGTTTTCTTGGGGGTATATAAAGAGCGTGGAGAGAGTCAAGCATAGAATAGCATCGACAAGTTTATCAGTATCAAGTCTACACCACGTTACTACAATTATCTATCTGAAAGTTGATTGGGCAAAACAAAAATCACCAACCCAAACCTACTCATACTCCATGAACAAGATGAGCTCCACAAACTCCACCCCCAGCTCCTCCATCCCCGCAACCCCAGCCGCCCACTCCCGTCGCGCCTCATGCGACTCCGCCCATGACGCCCACCACTTTGTCGCCCTGCAGCAACAACGCGAGAACGAGGAAAAGACACAACACAAGATCAACACCAGCATCAAGAAGATGTGGGAGGGTGTCAAGAGGCATGCTAGTGAGCACCATCGCAGTGTTAATGCTGCGTATATGGCGAGTTATGGGTGTGGGGCTCCTGGTGGCGTGAAGAATTAGGGCTATGAGAGTTCTTGGGATTTCCAAGGGAGGGAGAGAGGGACATATTTGTCAACAATCAATCCGGACTACAATCCGAATCGATCTGGATCACCAACCCAATCCAATCCAATCTAGATGTCCGGGTTGGATTGGATTGATTGTCTATAACTATGGAGAAGATAAAGAGCAGGGACTGGGAAAAGTTTTGAGTTTTTTGAGGATTGGATTTGGACTTGAATTTGATGCGGGAAAGCGATATACCCCTTTACGAAACCGTTTTTGATGCGCTGAGCAAGAGGGAAAGAGGAAAGGTATCAGGGCAATTGCATAGAATAGAGCTGAACATTTTCTCTTCTCTTTCTTCCACAATGGGGAGTAGCTTGCTTGAGTAGGAAGATACATATTTGTTTCAGACTTGAATGAATTTTATTTTCTTCCTTCGTGTATGAGTATTATCTGACTTCTATGTAAGGTTAAGAGAAGACACAGTAGCGATACGTCTGAAATATTGCAATGTAGGTAGCAAGATTAAAAACCGGGGAGGGCACTTTTAAAGAATCCCGCTTTCAGTACCCCGATAGATTGGCTACATCTATCACCTGCCACAGAGATTAAGCGTCGTTGTGACTAGATCCGCACGGATGCTAGATTTCCATCCTAAGTGCCCAAGTAACGTAGGGTCAGGGCAAGTATCAGAGATCCAGTCGAAATAATTTATTTGATATCAAATATCTGCACATACGGATGTGTAGAAAAAATAGCATTAGACACAAATGCTGGATCTTTAGGGGTATTAAGGAATATCTAAAGCTCTAACATGACGATTAGCTTCTACAAAGTCAACAAATCTAAGAATCTTCAACGTAACAGGTGTTATGGCTCTAGCTGCTAGATTCACAGCTTCCCTGATATTACTAGAATCGTCATACAGTATTGACTTTATATTGCAAGTTGATCACATGCTAATCCAATACGACCTTGTAATTATCCAAGGCAGCAAGATGCTACATGAAAATTGAAAAGAGTAATTGATCTGCCAAAACCAGCTGAGAAGAGGGAAACCTACATCTCAAGCACTACCAATTATCAAAAGCCACATCTCATGTCCGCCCAGCCTTGAACCCTCCCAACAACTCAACTCGGAGCTAACCACAATTAGCGCCGGACTTTACACCCATTACAGCATACACCTGCATAACCCAAGCCCACCACCACTGTCATACCGTAAGCTGAGCATTGTGTCTCTTATCCTGACACTCAGTACAACCATAACCCGCATTCTTACCTCGCTGAACCCCCGCCATACTATTTAACATACCCCTCGCATCTCTCATAGAAACTCTACGATCAGCAACGAAACAAAAACCCGCCATGGCAACACGACCCATCCCCTTCATTCTCTGCGGTCGAACCCCTCAGATCGCAAAAGTAGTACGCGAAGGCGTGGCACCAGAGTATCATGGTGAGTCGCTCTTCTCCCCCCCCTCCCTTATCAAACAACACAGCCAAAAAAGCAAAACTATATACTACTACTACATCCAACTCCTAAACCGCAACCCTCGCATACATACCCCAAACTAACCTCAATTCCCCTCCCCCCCCCACAGTCCCCCACACCTTCCTCTCCCTCGAAGAAGCAAAAACAAACATACCCCCCCTCCTCTCCCCCACCAGCCCCGATCGGCCCGTAGCAGTCGTGCTTGGCGGCGGCTTCAACGACGCCATGTTTGCAGAGATAAAAGAGGCGTGCGACACAGCACAAGGGGGAAAGGACGTGGCGTGGCTACGCACGGATATAACGGGTAAGGTGGCGATGCCTGATATGAATGATCATGAGGCGTATGGGAAGGCGATGGGTGCGAGGTTGAAAAGGGGGTTGGAAGGGTTGGGGGTGGGGAGTGAGGAGGGGGTGAAAGGGGGTGTGCATTTTTTCTAGTAGCGGTTTATGGATTATGGTAAGGTGAATTTTTTGAGTAGTTCTTTATCTGGGTATTTGCAGAAGAGTCGGTGGAATAGTGCTTACAAATCCACAAATGACCTGAGAACATGTACCAGGCTATCAAAGAAAAAGTGAGAACGTATATTAATCTCTACCACGCTTGATAGTCTATCGTGGTTCTTTCGTTTAACTCTCTAAATCATATAACAAACATCCGCCGGTACGAAAATTATACACAAACGCCTTGCCTACGGCGTCTTCTCCATCTCCATTCGCTTTACTTTCCACCCACTTGGCCCTATACCCTAACAACAAATCATGTAATTCCTGGAGATATTTTCGCTCCGCCAGCGGCATTCTCTGAATGAAGTAGCGCCAGGAATCCGGATCGCTGAGTCGGGTTTCCTTGAGGAGATTCATGACCTCTTCCTTTGATTCAATCGCAGCAATGGGTGCCGATTGGAATTCAGAAAGGAGTTCCGTGGAACGCGATTGTGCAGCTTCTACAATGGACCACTTATTCGACTTCTTCGAACGATGTTGGGCGATGAGAACGTCGACGTTGGCTTTCGTGGTGTCAGACTTATTGTTGGGAGCTGGTGCTGGAACTTTGATTTGACGAGCTGCTGTGCCTTCCCGTTCCTCCCTGTCGCGAAGCTCGTTGCGCAGGTAGTTAAGGAGATTGGAACTGTGCATGTCTGTGTCTTCCTTTTTGGCAATGGATTTCACTTTGAGCTCGGGTTTATCTGGCGCGACGCCGTGCTTGACCATAATAATCCAGCTGTGTCTGTCGTCTCGATAGTGGCGGAGTATGTCCTCAATAGAATGCGCGTCGATGGCAAGCTCAGCCGTATAGCCGTGAGATATGAGCTCTGATACCATTTTGATTCCAGTCGTTCGAAGGATGCTTGGATCAAAACTGGCAACCAGGCAATCGCAGCGGCGAGGCATCCATGAGAAAGATGGGGTGTCGTCGTCGGCCTGCTTCTTCAAAAACATTGATTTTTCTGGCTTCTTGATGTATCGAGCCATAGAGTTAACCAATCTGTCCCACCCTAGGTTTACACCGACTGCATGATATGCAGGTAGCGGATGCGCGTGACTAGAGCCAGTTGGCCGATATTCTTCGATCAGCTTGTCGTACCTTCCACCTGCAGCAAGCACTTCTCGCTGCTTGGTATCGAACAGGCACTGGAACAGTATACCCCCAGCATAAAACCTCTCGTTGAAGCTACTGAGGACATTAATGTAGACCTTCCGCTTCACATTCCAGTGCTTCATGTAGTTGATTACGGAGGAAAGGTGTCGGAATATCGAATGCGTTCGTTCGAGGTATTTTGTTCCCTCGAAAAGTCGCTGCAACTTTGCAAAGGCTTTTTCGGGTGTGTCGCGCCAATCAAATCTTGCCAGGTCGTCCAGCGACGTTGATGCAATACCGATGTCGGAAGAACGCAGCTCATTGCGGATAGAGTGCCAGTTGTTCTTCAATATGTTGAGCTTGCTGAGAACTGCCTTGACTGCCGTGCGTTTTGGAGCGGGAATCCTGCAGAATTCCATGACAATTTCTAGGAGATCGGCATGGTTAAGGTGAAAACACATCTGTGTTGATCGGAATGAAGGAAACTCGTCGATGATTTCATCGACAACCTTCAGAACTTCTGATTCCTTTAGAGCAAGATCAATCGCATCATACGAGACAATGTCAAAGTCTGCCTCACCGTTACTACGCGGAGCACTTCCAGTGTAGTTTTCACGGTAAACC